CTGGAGGGCCCGGAAGGCCCGGGCGCGTAGCCGCCGAGGCCGCCAAGCAGTGCAGTCCCTGCTCGGCGGCGGCGCAGAGCTCGTCGGGGCCCGCGGCGCTGCCCTACGGCTATTTCGGCAGCGGCTACTACCCGTGTGCCCGCATGGGCCCGCACCCCAACGCCATCAAGTCGTGCGCGCAGCCAGCCTCGGCCGCCGCGGCTGCCGCCGCCTTCGCGGACAAGTACATGGATACGGCCGGCCCGGCGGCCGAGGAGTTCAGCTCCCGCGCCAAGGAGTTCGCCTTCTACCACCAGGGCTACGCGCCCGGGCCTTACCACCACCATCAGCCCGTGCCTGGCTACCTGGATATGCCGGTGGTGCCCGGCCTCGGGGGCCCCGGCGAGTCGCGCCACGAGCCCCTGGGTCTCCCCATGGAAAGCTACCAGCCCTGGGCGCTGCCCAACGGCTGGAACGGCCAAATGTACTGCCCCAAAGAGCAGGCGCAGCCTCCCCACCTCTGGAAGTCCACTCTGCCCGGTAAATGGCGCCCCCTTCTCAACCCCGGTCCTCCGGCTCTGCTCCAGCTTCTCTGCCGCTCGCTCCCGGGTCACCCTCCTGCCCCTCTGCTCTCTCCCTGGCCTGCACCCCTGGGAGCCCGACCCCGGCTAGCTGGCGCGGCCCGCGCTGCCCTTGAGTTGGGCCCACTCCTGGCTCTCTCTGGGTGAGGAGGGATGGCTGGGAAGAAGCTTGTGCGGACCCTGCCTGGCTCCCTTCTCCCTCTGTGCCCCGCCCTCCTTAGCCCCTGACATCGACTTAAGGATGGAAAGTTGACCTGGAAACGGTTTACAAAATTGCCCCTATTCGTTCTCTCAAAAAAGGGCTTCAGTGTAGAAGCATCAGGTGTTGGGGATTGGGGTGTACCGAGAGGAGCCAGGCATAGAAGTGTTATTCCCTGCGTCTGGGGCTAAGGTGTGGGCCGCTGGGCCAGGCGGTCAAGCGAACCCAGCGCCCTGTGTGGACTGGATGGCTCGGCTGGGTAGCCAATGGAGCCATAGGCTATTTCATTTCAGTGCAGGGCTAACCACCCCCCACCCCCCACCCCACCGACCCTTCAGGTCTTAGCGGAAGGCTGGATTGTACCCACGCATGGCAAAAGGCAGCTGGGCGATGCAGGGCGGGTGGCTCAGATCGAGCTGTCGCCTGTCCTGGTCTGGGTCTGCTTGCTCCCTGTGTAACTTGCCTTCTTCCCTATCTTCCAGACGTGGTTTCTCATCCCTCAGACGCCAGCTCCTACAGGCGAGGGAGAAAGAAGCGGGTCCCTTACACCAAGGTGCAATTAAAAGAACTCGAACGGGAATATGCTACAAACAAATTCATTACCAAGGACAAACGGAGGAGGATATCAGCCACGACAAATCTCTCCGAGCGGCAGGTTACAATCTGGTTCCAGAACAGGAGGGTCAAAGAGAAAAAAGTCATCAACAAACTGAAGACCACTAGTTAATGGATTAAAAGTGGAGCGAGAGAGCAACTTGAAGAAATGCTTCAGAACTCGTTGCTTTGCCCAGATAGAATGAACATAATGCTTAAATAATAATAACTGAAGAATGGGAAAGAGAAAGAGAAAGACACTGGCATTTTGCTTTCCTAAGGGAGATCTCTTTCTCCTTGGTGGAATCTACAACTCTTTTAAAACTTTAAGAAAAGGTAAAGACTTCCAGTTGTCCCGCCAACCCCACCAGACCGTTAAATGACAAACTCTAGAGTTGAACGTCAACCCCCAAATATGCAATTTCAGATAAGTTACGCATTTACTGAAATCTTGTAAGTATTTATGTGACCATACTATTTCAGGATACTGTGTTATATGGTAATAATCCAAAACTTGGTTACAAAAGTAAGAGGCTGTTGTAGACATCTGCTTGTCTTTGGGTCGCCATTGACATCTCCTTTGCATGTTAAGTGACTGCTCAGGTAAATCTCAGTGAAATGCCTACCATTGTTGTATATTCTGCAAAACATGTATAGATTGAGAAGGGGAGAGAGGAGAAGGTACTGAAATAATGATCTTGGGCTATTTACAATGAAGGAAGAAAGGGAGAGAGAGCTTTTCTGAGGATCATTTGTCTTGGTAGTAAATACAACCAGCTGAGCCTTTGAGGCTACAAGGGAACCCCAGGTTGGGAACGTCTTTCTGACAATAATTTTAAATTGCTCATAACAAGCATATTTTGTGGCATTTGGATTATATGCTCTGCCTGATACCATTTACTTTCCAAAGGATGTGATAACTTTTCAAAAAAAAAATATTTCAAGCATCAGATGTTTCATAGAATTCACTTTATCAGCTATCCTGAGAGGTCCATCGGGACATGGTGGACTTTGGATTGAACAGAGTTCATGTTTCATTTAAACTGGTATTTCCCCCAGAATTTACTAAACATTTGCTGGAGAATAATTTTGCTTTTTTATTTTTTTTAGAAAACTCAGAACGGAAATCCATTCCCCTGAAACACTTAGATGTTTACAATTCTATACTTTGATCTATTAAGGGATTCGTATTTTTTCCTTGTTTATTGTGTTATAAGACTGCATTAGGAAGTTTAAGGATTCATCATTACAGCACATTTTTAATCAAGCAGTTATTTCGACCAGCACATTCATTTTGTTCACATTCACTATAAAATGCTATCTTGTAAATAAAGACATTCAGCACACTGTGAAAATGTATTTGTGCACCTGCTTTTCAAACATTTCTACTAAAAATAAGAATTAAAAAACCTTAGACCTGTAGATAATGATATAGTGGTATTAATTATGGTAATAAAATAGTCACTGCCATTAAAATCTAAAGGAAATACTCGTTATTTTCCTATACTAAATGTGCACTTCACAGAAAGAAAAAATGGAGCGGGTTTGTCCTACACAAACCAAGGACCATTCTTTTCTATTATTAATTCAGTCTTTTTTTTTTTTCACTACAAATTTTTTAAGCAAAAGGAGAACTCCCTGATAACTAAAATCCTGAAAATTTAGATAAGTGCTTCAAGAAAGTTAAAGCATTAGACATTCTGAGAAGGAGAGAAAAGGAAGGGGGAAAAGATAGTATAAATTCCCAGGCTCACTGTGGAAAATGAAAACCAGTTGTTTAGTATCAGTGATGCCCAGGCTATATCGTATTTTCAAATATACTGTTGGGTCTGCATGTGTCTGAAAGGGCAGGTTTTGATATTTGTTGAAATGACAGGACTAGGAAAGGCCTTAAACCTTGACCTTGACGAAAAAAGACAATTTGTGACCTTGACTTTTGACAGCTCATGAATTGGCCTCGGCTGGATTAGTAGATCAAGGGCGCCACCTCGCGTTGACAAGCTTCCTTGTAATTCTTCAGCTTCAAGGGAATCAAAAGGTCTTACCTCCTTGACTCCTTGTTTTAGAGATTTAGTACTCATTTCTTTGGCTCCAGATGGAACAAATTTGAATATATGTAAGTTATACATGTGCCTGTATATATGTGAATATATATTATTTGTGTGTAGACATGTATACATTTGCATATCAGTGCTTATGTGTGCTTGTATATATATATATATATTTGTAGAGTCTGTACAGATCCAATATCACTAATTACTGATGACCCAAGATGTTGTAACTTAAGGTGATTTCTAGAGTTGAGGTACAAAATGTACTTTACATGATGAAGTTTTGCTCCTTTTCTTTAATGGCCAAGTTTGATTTGTCTTCCCAGTGCCCGCTCTGCCTCAGATTTCTGCAGATCTGCTTCAAAGCTGTACGTTTTTGTTACAGTCTAAAAGGTGTTCTTAAATAACCATTCTTTCCTGGCCCTCACCCTCCAAGGTGGTCTACCAACCTAATTAGAGCTATAGGGGAGTCTATATGGCAAATAAAAAGTTTCAGATGCCTCGCTAACTCTAGGGTTCTAGAGTTACATTTCAGAAACTCAAAGAAACCTCTTAGGAGGTCAGTATGGAGAGCTGAAAGATCTCATATCTACAAAATGACCATATTATGGATGCAGAAGGAGAGTTATCCTGGAGCTCTCAGAGCCGATTACTGCTCGTGGGTGGTGTGCAATCTTATACTGCTGTTTGCAGAAACTGCCATTTGATTTGTGGAAGAAATAGACACAATTAATATTAACGATCACCATCAAAACAATAACAATAATACCAAGTATATCTACTACTTGTTGACCCCCCCAACAACACATCAGGTGCTGTGTTTAGAGTCATAAATAACACGTATGTATGTTTTCTATTTAATATGCACACAAGATATGTGTTTTTGTCAAATCCGTGCTATGCGCGTGTATATATATATATATATATATATATATATATGTGTGTGTGTGTGTATATGTATATATTGAAATGTTGGTGGAACCAGGAGCCTTAGGATGCAGAATTTTGAGATGAGGTTAATTTTATCTTTATGTTAGAGGAAAGTCATTGTGAATTAAAAAACCATATTCATCGATTTATGGAAAAAAACATTGGTTGCTGAGAAACCTGGCTGACAAAACCTCTCCAACCTGGACTTAGAGCTTCTTTACAGATGGAGAATTCTAGAATCTTTAAAGCTGTCTCAGAAACAGCATGGTCTTGAAGCATACGTGTGGGCTGGTCTTGAGACGTGCAATCCAGTTTTGCTGCCCTGAACATGGATTTTAACTCCACTGGTGGAAACAAATGAAAATGATGGTCCAGTTCAAGCGCCCCACATCGTGTTCCACAGCTCTCCCTTTCTAAACAAGCTGCCATCAAGCCAAAGGAACAACTTTCTTCCCAAAATGTTTAAAGTGGTGGAAAATCCCCTCGAAGCTGGATCATACTGTGTGTTTATGAACAGCTCCAAAGGGGACTCTTCTGTTGACGGGGGATATTTTTCTTTAGATGTAAGAAATATTCTGAGCCTCAGGCCTAGGAAGGAGGCCAACAGCCGCTCTGAAGCCCGAATACCGCCCCTTTCACAACCCATCGCAGGAACTCTGGGTAAAGTAGTAGTTTTCTTCCCCCCCCACCCCCTTCAATTTTTGAAACTAATGACGGAAGCTATTTCAGGGTTTTTTTCCCCCCATTCTAAATGGTTGGTGATAGTCGACCCTACCTAGCTCCCCTCTTATTTAAAATTCTTATGGATCTACCAGATAACCTAAAGCAAGCATGGATTATGATCCCTAATACCCAAATAGCAATTAGTCTAAACCTTTAGAAAAAAGACATCCAGAAGGACTCCAGCCACCATATAGCAATAATAACACCAGACGCCAGGATAGTACAACTGGATGGATAGCTGATTCAAATGTGTTTTCTTTTTTCCTAAAAGGGAAGCCTCTTCTGAACAAGAAATTGTAAATATGAAAACAGCTAGACACTGTTTTCATCTATTAGCAAAGATTTTGAATCCTGTAATGGCCTGCCCTTTAAAAAACTGTAAATATGGGACTTTAAAAAAAAAAACCACTTTTTCCATATGCTCTTAATACTGTCAAATTTATTAAGGTATTTTAAGTGGATGATTGTAAAATGTCACTTTGCATTTAACTACTATTTATGCCTGATGCAGAACTGAAGCCATCCGTTTAAATTGTTAAGAGACACAGAGAGAGAGAGAAGCAATAATTTTTTAAAGAAAGGGGAAAAGAAAACTATTCTTTTTTAAAACTCAACCTAATGAAAGTGCTTTCTGAAAAATTCACGAGTCCGTGAAATTCAGCGGAGGGTCATACGTATGCGTGCGGGTAATGACACAGATTTCACCGCCTAATGTCCGTGCAGATTACACCCTGCTGCGTGTGTTTGGAGGGTCTGGTGAAGATGCGGCTTCTCGCTTCCTCTCTACGGATTCCGGAGTTTTCGGAGGGGAGACGGGGGCTGTCCAGCACTGCTAAGCCCCCCGACCGGGTGGGTTCAGAGGCGCCCTTCCGGATTTGCGGACCTCTACGGAGGAGACGCTAGGGGCTTCCTGATTTATGCGCGTTCCTTTAAAGTTGATCGAATGCGTGTCAGCAGCCCAAGACCTGGTGAATCAGAGAAACGTGCAGCGAGTAGCTCACATCCCAGTTTTCATAAACAACGATGTGGCGTTATCCGAGCGGCCCGGGGAGATTTATGCCTAGGTTTTAGGAACCGCACACAACAATTTTCATCGGCTAGGCCGCCGGGTAAATAGCAGCCGGCCTCATTCTTTATGAAAACACCCACTTTCTGATCGGCTGCTTCCATCCTCCAACCTCTACCTAGCACCGCCGAATGCCTGAGAGGTGTCTGCTATTTTTAATTTGATTTCAAAAGGAAGGGGGAAAAAAAAGAAAGGAAGGAAGGAAGAAAGGAAGACGCCGGCACGGAAAAATCCCTCCATGAAAGCAGCTACGGCCTTGTCACAGTTGATTTCATTTCTGCCCGGCTCCGTCGCGCAGCTGAAGAGCCGGGACCCCGGCAGAAAGCATGAGCACGGCCCCTTAGAGACGCTGGAACGTTGGCGGGCGGCGGCGCGGCGGCGCGGGGCTCGGCCCAGGTGCGGGCGTGTGGACGAGCCGCAGAAGCGCCAGCCGCGGACTCAGAGAGCCGCCTGATGTCGCGCCCCCGGGGCAGAGGCGACGCTCCAAATCCTCCCTGCTTCCGAGCGAACCCTCTGCTCAAAATGGAGGCTCCGACCCTGCCAGAGCCGGCCTTGCCTGCAAGGCTTGTGTGTCGCAGGAGGCACGCAGCAGCACGCTTGGCCGAGGTCAGGGCGCTGGACCCCCGAGGCCCGCGCCTGGCGGGCTCCTCCGAGGGCCGGGCACCCGCGCCGGGGAGTCGCCCCGCAGCTGCAGGCTGACGTCACGGTCGCCCGAGAGCGGGGCCTTGGCGGGCCTCTCCAGGCGTGATTTGATGAGCACAAGCCGATTGAAACGAATGTTTTGTGCGGGTGCCCGCTTCTCCGCCCCGCCCCGCCCTCCCCAAGAGAATAATCGGGTATTTAATCTCTCCCGGTCTTAATTCTTGGCAGCGTGGAAGGTGGTTTGCACGGGAAATAAAACTTGACAGGAGCATTTTCTCTAAAAGGGGTTCTGAGGACGGACTGAAAAGAAACCGTGTTTTTTCTCTACCAAATACTTCCGCTTTCTGAGCCCCGGGCCGAGGGGTGGGGTGACATCCGAGGGAGCGGAGAGCGAGCTGGGCACGCGGGAGCACGCTGTGGACCGAATCCGGGCCCTCCGGGCAGCCCCGGGTCTCCGCCTGGGCCTGGGCCTGGGCCTGGGCCGGGAAGGGGCCTCCGGCCTCGCGGCGCCCAGGGCCTCTGTGGCTCTGCTCGGCGGTAGGCCCGGCGCCGCCCGCAGCCCGAGGCCAGGACCCCTCTCCCGGGAAGATGGCACCCGCAGGGGCCCGGTTGGCACCCTCAGTAGTACCCTGGCATTGGCTGCGGGCGGCTGGGGTCCAGCGAGAGAAGAGGACGCTGGGGAGGGCCTTGGACCGCTTGGCTTTAGCTCTGAACCTTTTAGCCAAGGGGAGTTGGGGACAAGAGCTCGCAAAGGAGGTGGTGAGAGCACTGCTGGGGGCTTTGTTTCGGCCGCGGGTCTGCGGACACTGCACAAAATGGAGCGGGGATGGAGGTGAGCGGCGCTGCATGCGTGGGTTGTCCAGGCTGCTATTGGGTGGGAGAAGCTGGAGAAAGCAGAATCCCCCTCCCCGCAGCTCAGAGAGCGCCCTCCCCTCGCCGAGCCGCAAAGGTCAAGTCCTCGGCAGGATGGCCGCCTCCACGGTCAGGGCCGCCGGCGGACTCAGGAAGGCCCGGGACCCACACTTGGCCGGCTGCAAGCGGGTTCTGATGGCCTGGACTCGCGGACTGGAGGTGAGGATTCTTTCCTGGCTACTGAAAAGGAGTTCCCGCAGCCAGATGTGGCCCAGGCTATGTCCCCGTCGAGTCCTGGAAAAGCTGGTCCAGGACACTTCGGAGCCCGCGGAGGCCTAGCCCCGGCGAGAGGCAGCGCCTGCAAGCTCCGGAGAGCGAATGTGGCTGGATCAGAGTTCTGGGCTCGGGCAGAAACAGGGGACCCGTAGGGCCTGTGGGCCAGCAGAGCCAGGAATAGGATAGGGGAGCAAGGACCCTGCTGGGAACCTCTCTTAAGGTCCTCTAGTCCAGGTCTGCTCCTTGAAGTGCATGCTGATGCTTTGTGCACTTTGATGCTCTTCTTCTCCTGCCTAAAATCTGTGCCAAGAAGTGAGGTGCACTCTGCCAAAGGTAAAAATCCCTGACTCCCGGGGCCCCCAAACCCACTCACTGTGCTCTGGAGGGGTGGGAGCCTTGTCCTCTGCCCCGTAGCCTGCCTGCACAGGGTCACCCATCAGGCCCAGTGGTAAACAAATAGCTTAGGCAGAGTCAGCCCTGAGCTTAGGCTCCAGGTGAATCAAAGAGGCCCTGTAAAGGATTTCATCCCCCGCCCCCCCCCCCACACCTCCACAGAGGACAGAATAGCTGGGCTTTATACCTAAAGCTGCACGGGTGAAGTAGGGCCTTTGAAGGGACACTAGCTGGAGGAATTGCCCATGAATAGGTATGGTCGCAGAACTGCGTGGAAGGGCATGTGGGAGAGACTCCTAGGGTAGCCATGGGCTGGGCATGGGCTCGCTCTTTTTAAGTCTGCAATGTGAACCACGGAATGCTGCCGGAGTAGACGTGAAGGAGCCTGGGGAATTGACCTAGGAGGCAGCTGGAGCTTGGGGCCTTGGAGGCTTCCTGTGAACCACAGCTGTAGGGACAAGACCCTGAGGGCCAGGGCTAGCCTTCTGTTTGGGCCGCCCTCTTTTGTCCACTTTATTGCAGATACCCTCTGCTGGAGAAACCCGTTTGGGCCGAAGTTTCAGGGAGAATAGAAAGCAGATGCTGAGAACCAGGGCTTTGTCCTTGAAAGTTTCCCCTACTCCATTTGTTCCCACTTGATAAGATGAGGGGGGTGATTTTTTTTTAAATAATGAATCCACACCAATAAAAGTAAAAATAGTTATTCTCAAAGGAAGTACCTCTCTCCCATCAATTTGGGACCCACTAAACTAAATATAACCAGATTGCTTGAGTGTCTGGGACCCTCAGCTGAGCCCTATGCCCCACTCTTTAGCAACCAGAGGAAGGATGTGGACTTCTTCAGATGTTTAGGGACCTTGGAAGATTGAACCTGTGAGTCAGATGAGAACCAACTGTAAGGTCAAGTTCAAGGCATTACCTGTTCTTGTGCTATAGGCAACGGTAGAAGAGCTTGTGGACAGGCGGGTGCCTTGCCAAGGCAAGGAGAGAAGTTAACCGCTGCCTCCACCGACTAGTGATAGAGAGGGTCTCCAAATATTTCATGGCAGCCTCAGTGCCACCTCTGGACAACGCCTCGAAATGTGATATAGATTGGCCAAAATCTGCCGATAAACTGTTTCCTGAGAACAAATCCTGGGAGATCCCCTGGGCTTCCCCAGACAACCCATTATCCAGAATCACCATGGAGGGCAACGCACCTCCAGACACCTCCCATTTAGAAGGAGACGGCCCTCAAATAAAAGCCTGGCCTCCAAACCCAGGAGGGGCTCAGTGGCTGTTTCTACACCGGGCCACCAGTTGGCTTTTGCACCTGCATGCAGTGTGGTCACTGGGGTTGAAATAGTCTTCTGTGTAGCTTTTCTAGAAATAAGTGTGACGTTTTAGGGACCGAGGTAGTAGGGGCTCAGTACAACAAGAAAAGGCAAAAAATTTTGGTGCCCCAAGTGATCCATAGGTAAATGACTGTGGATCTTTGCGAGTGAGGTTTGGTCTGTCAAGTGGGCCGGACCCCTCCCAGGCTAGCTGCCATCCTTGGAGCTAGGTCCCAAGAAGAGAAGGAAATATTGATGAGAGAAGGAAAGAAAAATAGCATGGTAGAGCCTTGGAATGGAGTGTTCGGAAGAATGAGGTAAGAGATCTAGTTCAGATCCCTGGTGAAGTCCTAAACTTGGGTGGGGGGTGGTCAGGAACCTAACAGCCCCCTTTTCTGTGCTTGAGTGTTGGGTGCCCTCCCACGGCACCTCAGTTCTTGCTCAGCCTAGGAGGGGCATCAGAAAAGGCCGGAGGCTGGAGAAGGAGAGACTCTGCTGGAAAGAGGATGGGGAGACAGGCAAACAGGAGCTGCAGGGAGACAGGACCAGCTAGGGAGGGAATATGGTGAGCGAGCAGCGTGGTATTGGCATTCCCACTATTGGCTACTTGCCGAGGGGCTTGACTTGCCTGAAGGGGCTGCAAGTGCAGGCACTGGGGACTTCAGATTCTCAGATTTGGAGGTCAGTGAGCTGGCCTCAGTGCCCAAGCTAGCACTAAGGGGAAAAGAGGGCACCCTAGCAGCAGCGGCACTTGGGGTTGGGAACCCCAGAGTCTAGAGTTGCTCCCTGCCCACTGTTCTATTCTCCCTTTGAGTGAACAGGTGTTAAGCTGCCTATCAAGTGACAGTCCTTTCGGCTCATGCCCCTCAAATGGCTGTGCTGCAGACATCCCCAGCATGACACCCCCCCCCCCCCCCCGTGAAAGAGCCTCACGTTGCCCTGGTGCGCACCGACTGCACCAAAGCTACCTGGCCCGGGCGCCGCCAGCAGGCACCCTTCGGCTGCAAAAAGAAGTGGAGGGAGGCGGCAGTGCTGGGCAGAGGCACCTGGACACAATTTATTCCAGTATCCTGCCTGGGGAGGTGGGTGGAGTGTAGGACGCAGGAATCATCTGCACCAAGATGCATTCAGCCCCAGCAGGAGGATCCGGGAGGTGCTGCCGAACCCCTCAACCCCCACCCCCCACCCCCCCCCCATTTAAGACCAAATCACACGGAGCCTTGCAAAGGCTCGGTCTGCTTTGCTGAGCAAATCGCCTCCTTAGCCGTTTCCGCCTGACCACGCTGATGCGGGGGCGCCAGCCTTCTCCTCTCCGGGTGGCCATCTCCAAACGCGGCTTGGGGAACGAAAGGGCCCGGCCCTGCGAGGGCTGCCTAGACCTTGAAGTTTGGAAAAACAACAAGAAGAGATTGAAACGGCTCCCTCCCTTCTCCGCAGACACACACGCACCGTCAGGCCGCCGCCACTTCCTGCCTTTGTTTTTCTTCCTCCAAAACATTTTTGGCCTTTTGCATTAGCTGCCGTGGGGCTCTGGGTTGAGGATAAAAGGAAATACATACTGAAGATTGCTTTCTGGAGATGGCTCCGCTTTGTGGAGCTCCTGAGAAAGAACAGCTCGTGGGAAACCAGTCGGCAGGGGCCAATGTCACAGCCTCATCCACTCGATCTCTTTAAGAAATACAACTCGGACTTGGCATTCCAGGTGGCCTTAGCACCCGTCAGGTCTTCCCCTGAGCAGGGTGGGCTCAGTTCGGGTGTAGGGCCTCCTGCAAAGCGGAAGAGTCAGTTAGGCTCAAAGCAAAGTCAAAACCAAGTACCTGCAGCTGTGCCTCCCCTGCTTGCCCAGATTTGGTCTGATGCTCCAGTCTGCGCCCACCCCCAACCATTCCCTCCCACCCCCGCAAACATTCACACTGCCAGTATATTCTGGGCAAGAGGGGCAGGAGCGGGCGAAGCTGGGAAAAGTCCGAAGCCTTGGGGATCTGAGCACCCCCTCCTGTCGCTGCTGGGGAAGTAAAAACATTCGCCACTCCACGCATTTTCTCTTCTCCTGGCATCAAAAGCGTTTCCCCTCATCCATTTTTGCTGCAGCACCCCAACATACCCTCTTCAGGGCTGTGTGTCCCTCCCGGCACCCCGCATCGGTACAGCCTTCTTGAATTACCCCGCCAACTGCTTTGGGAGAGCCTTCCTCCATCCCAGCCTCTTCTCGGAAATTTGCCTTTGTCTCCTACAGATACCCATGGGATCCAGACCTGCTGGCACCCTCTCGGCTTGGCTCTCGGGGACACGGGAGGCATTGATTACGCAGAACAGTGTATATCCCCATACTGACCTTTCTGCCGGTACCCCGGCTCCCTGGCACTAAGGGGAAAGCCGATCTAATTAGGAGAGGGGCTGCGTGCAGCTGGGGGAGGTAGCCTGGCGTCCCGGCTGGCGGGCCACCGCAGCCGGTCTGCTCAGGCACAAGCTGAAGTTGACTGCCAAAACTGCTATAAAACCCCAGGTCTGTCTAGAACTGTTTTCGGTTCTCCTAGACGCCCCCGGGTTCAATTATAGTCTTAAAAGCCCTAATACAAGTGCAAGAATTTGTTTGCCTTCACCCAGGGGCGGGGCAAGCCCTGAAATGGTGGCGCCTTTGTTATAGCAAAGTCACTGAAACCCCTCAAGCATTCCTTTTGTTCGAGGGTCGGGGTGGCGGGGGACTGGGTGGGCTACTGGGAGATAGTTTCAGAGGGCCAAAATCAAGTCCGGGAACGGCTCAAACACTACTGTTCGCAAACCTCTCCTTCTCCCTTTTATATTCTGTCTCCAAGAAAGAGATGCTGTGGAGAAATAAATATTTTGCCTTGTTGGTCACTGCTGGAAATCGAAGTTTTTTCGCTGCAGGGCAATCCCGTAACTGCGATTCCCAGCTTTAGGAGGTCTCAAGCTGCCTTTCCCCAATAACCTTCCTTCCCACCAGACCTCACTCACACCACTGCTGCCCTCTGCACAGTGGACAAGCCACAGTGGACAAATATGTCAAGCTGAAGATGCACAAATAATTTCAAGTTCAACTCTTAGGGATTCAAGGGGTATGAAAGTTCTTGCAGCAAATCCTGAATAAAGAGTTCATTAAACCAATGTGTCCGACTAGTTTGATTTGTGATAAGCAACCCTTGTAAAGGAAGGGGGTAGGAGCCACATAAACATTAATGCCAATAAATTAGTTTACTCCACTGCAGAGTAATTACTCGATATTATTGATATTTACAGCAGGTATTCAAATGCAACGGTGGGCCATCATTTGGAGAAAACACATAATGAGAATAGTTCTTTTCCAGTGCAATACATGATTAGATTTGTTATTGAGTCAGTTACAGTCAGCTCAGCAATAAATAAATAAATCGATGTTGACACTTAAATACCAAAGATCTTAGAGTTTATACTCTAAATCTCCCCGAGATATATAAATACCTTCAGCTATTTCCTGGATGGGGAAAGGGAAAAGGTTATCCTTTTTCATTTTTCAACTTTGCTTCAGCAACATCCAGCTCCTTCCAAGAAGATAGGTGTGGGGAGGCCCCAGGGCTGGGCCCCTCCCAGCTGCGGTCCTGCCTGGCAGCCCTATGCCCTCTTTCACTTCTCCCAAACGTTGATAATTCAATCCTGCAGGATGGCAAGCATTTTTCACCATCTTAATTTTTTTTCTTTCTTTTTCCCAAGAAAGCTAAGACTCCTACTAGCAGCTATGGCCCCTGTCTCTACCTTGGGCTCAAATCTAGCCTTTCCGAGGCGTTCTTGTCACACCCCCGGTCCCGCGAGTTTGGGAAGCAGCGCTCTTTCCTCTGGCATTGTGTTTCTTCTGTGGGATGAGTAGCAGAAAAGGCGCCGAGCCTTCTGAGTTTCTCCCTGCACATCACTGGCTCTCACGCTTCGCCAGGAAGGAGAGGAAGCATGTTACCCTTTTCTCAGCCACGGCTCCCTGTCCCTAGCCGTCTCCTCACTGCTCCCTGTCCCTAGCCGTCTCCTCACTGCCCCCACTCAGCTCTGAAGCTCCGCTGGCAGCCTGCTGAGCCCGCGGAAGGTGCAGCATACCCAGGAAAACGCTCCTCGGCTGTCAGCGCCCCTAAAGCAGCCCAAGGCTCGCCTCAACCGCACGGCTTCCCGGGTCCTCAGCTCCAAGAGACCAGGCAGGCGGGCGGACCCGTGCACCGTGACGCAGCCCCCACAGCCCCCGGCTGTGCCGGGCGACTCCGAACCCCGGCAGGCAGCGGGGAGGAGGGGGTGGGGGGTTCTTCAAGGGCAGGGGGTGGAGTGAGGAGGCCGGCGGGGAGAATGAAGTGGAGGTGGATCCCGGGTAAGACGAAGGCCCTTCCGGGACCTGCAGATGCCTGACAAACCGCGGGGGAAGCCGCCCTGGTTGTTGGCGGTTTAGGGACGGAAGGCACTAAAGCGCTTCGGAAGTGACCATGAATGCGAGCGTGTAATCAAGTCACCGTGCAAATCGGGCAAGCCACGAGGCAGGCACATCCACGGCTGCGAACCCTGGCCCCGAAGGGGGTCCGGCCAGAGTCGGAGGCAGAGGTGGTTTCCAGAGCAAGCCTGTGGGAGGGGGATAGCGAAGAAGGAGGTGCGAACGCGAGCCTCCAGGAGAATAGATTCCAGGACCGCGCACGGGCCACGCAGCGACGAGCTCCCACCCGGCCACCCCCAGCCTGGGGCATCCCTCACCCGGGGAGTGATGGGTGGCAGGAGTTGAGCTCTCTCACCGCCCTCGGCGCACTTGAGGGCCAGGACCGTGCAGCTGAGCACAAGCGAGTGGCATGGGACGCACCCCAGCCTCGCCGCGCGCCGGGAGGCCCCCCAGCCAACATGAGTTACACCGGCGATTACGTGCTTTCGGTGAGAACACCGAGTGACGATCTGTTGCTTCCCCTGAGGTGGCTACAAAGAAAGGAAGCCGGAGAGGGAGGGGAGGGGGGGAAAGGAAAGGGGAAGAAAAAAAAAAAAAAAAAGGCCCGGACCAGCTCGCAGCTTGTCAATTTCAACATCGGGTCACATGACCAGCACCTCCCTGCTAAGGATGGGGATAGATTTCCACGTCAGCTTACGTCTCCAAATTTCTACTTCACGGATCCGCTTCAAAGAGGCAGCTGCAGTGGAGAATCATGTTAAGCTCGGCTACTGCGGAGAGCCCAAGGTAGCCCAATGATGGATTTTGATGAGCGTGGTCCCTGCTCCTCTAACATGTATTTGCCAAGTTGTACTTACTACGTCTCGGGTCCAGATTTCTCCAGCCTCCCTTCTTTTCTGCCCCAGACCCCGTCTTCGCGCCCAATGACATACTCCTACTCTTCCAACCTGCCCCAGGTCCAACCCGTACGCGAAGTGACCTTCAGAGAGTACGCCATTGAGCCCGCCACTAAATGGCACCCCCGCGGCAATCTGGCTCACTGCTACTCCGCGGAGGAGCTCGTGCACAGAGACTGCCTGCAGGCGCCCAGCGCGGCCGGCGTGCCTGGCGACGTGCTGGCCAAGAGCTCGGCCAACGTCTACCACCACCCCACCCCCGCCGTCTCGTCCAATTTCTATAGCACCGTGGGCAGGAACGGCGTTCTGCCACAGGCTTTCGACCAGTTTTTCGAGACGGCCTACGGCACCCCGGAAAACCTCGCCTCCTCCGACTACCCCGGGGACAAGAGCGCCGAGAAAGGGCCCCCGGCGGCCGCAGCGACCTCCGCGGCGGCGGCGGCGGCGGCGGCGGCGGCGGCAG